AGCAGCTCCTCATTCTCCATGGACAGTCGCTTGTTGACTTTCGACTCCTTCTCTAACGACTCCTGCAGAACAGCTTGCTCGGTAGAAAGTTGTCTGAAAAGACAAAAAAAACAAAAACAAAAACAAAATTTAGCCCAGGATAGTGTGGCTCTAGGCGAAAATTTAACTTGGAAAAAAAATTATTTTACCACTTTAGGCTTGGAAGTCCAAATAACTCTCCTATGGAACAAAATGGATTCACAGACAGATTGGAGTCACAGGCATTTATCTGGCTAGCTTGAGGAAGCATAGAAACATGGGCCTGAGCCAGGAGAGAAACTTTTTGGCAACCTCGGTGGTAGACTGAATGACATTTCAACAGATGTTATACCGTTTAAGACGACTTCACATTGGGAGCTGTTTTCAATTTGGTTTCACATTGCTCTTTTCCTGAAGAGTCACAAAGTCAGACAGAGGGCTTCCTGGCTTAGGTCTGCATTTGGTGCAGGCCATTGTGGGACAACCATGAAGTGATGCAATGATATTTTCCAGAAAGAAATTCAATTGCATCCCCAGAAGGTCCATTTGTGGAGTACAGTAAGGGAAAGGAAGGAGCTTTTAAAAACAGAATGTTTTTTACCTTGAAATTGCCACGTGTCTGTCCATCCGAGCTTTCAATTCCTCATTCTCCTGCTGGAATCGCTTCAGTTTGTCGACAAGTATCGTGTTGTTGTCCACCTTGGCGTAAATAAGAATTCCAACATTTGTAAACTATTTAAAATAAAGTTCCTCATTTCCTCTAGTACCCTGCTGAAATATTCATGCCTAAGAGATATTTAATTAAAGAAAATATAAATATAGTATCTACATATTATTTCTGTACACCAGGTCAAGTGGAAGCTGAGGCAGGCAGAGTCCAGCCGACATGTTTCCAGCTGTCATGTTTTAGGTTTCACCTCTGACTGTGACCTGAGCAACCAACACATTGCTCTACATTGGTCAAACAAATGGCAGCTAAGAAAGCCTACATTTATCAAAAAACCAGCTGTAGCTGAGCCAACTTCAACGCACGATGATTGCATGTGTGCTGGAGTAGAACTGTGTTCTCCACATGGTTGATAGGGCTGATTTTTTTTGGCCTTTCTTCCGAAGAATTCCTCAGACTCAGTACCTTGGAATTGGTTCCTGCTCCTAGCAACCCTCCACTCCAAATTTTGGAGGTTATCAATCATAACAGGAGGAAGCGGCCCATCTTCCTCCCATGGGACGGTTGGTAGATTCAAACCCCCAGAGGCACTTGGCCTTTGAGTTAGCACTGCAATTTGCTCTCCGTGAGAGCCTGAAGTGCCGCTGATGGACTCAAACCACGAACCTTTCAGTTACTCATTAGGCAAAGGCACTATATATTCTTATAATAAATTTCTGGAAATAAAATTCTTACATTTGATGAAAACTTTGTAGAGGTAGAGAAATACTTTTCTATTTTACGTAGTAAACATTTTATATGGCCTTAAATACAATTTTATAGTTATTCTTTAGCCATTTACCTCTGTATAACCACCAACAAACCAGATTTGAACAAATTTAACCTGGTATTAAGTGGAAAATGGTATTAAATTTAACTAGGTATTAAGTGGAAAAAAAGTAACATTACAGAAAGCCTCCTCTCAATTGAATCAAAGATAGGGGTGCTTTTCTGCAAAGTGTAGGTCTGCCCAGTCTAAATTTTCAAGGAAAGCAAACTGATCAGTTGAGAGAGATTTAAGGATAAGATCTCTGAAGACACTTAATCACTTAACAAGTAGAAGACTTAATTACACCCCAGTTCACTTTCTTATGGGGGAGTTTTATTTCTTGCTTAAGAGGTGATATCACAGCTCCTCAGAATTAAATGGAAATTTCTGGTTGCTGTAGCATATGACTCATTTACTTTAATTATGATCCCATTCTGTAATCTTCTGAATCTTAAGACATCCTACTATCTGGAGACTACTCAGGACAAGCCAGTCTGGTGAAAATACCTCTCCAGAAATGGGACTTGAAGTGTGGGGGGGGATATATATATATATCTCCTGGCAATTCCAGTAAATACAAAGGAGTTAAAGATAAAACAAAGGTTAGGAAACCTGGAATAGGATGTAGGCAATGACTGGCCCTAATTATCTATTCCCAAAAGTGGTGTCACAGAGCCAGTTAATGGCACAGTTAATTTCATACCAAAGTGCTCGAATGGATCAACAAAAAGAAAATGTGTTGGTAATTTTACAGCAGACTCTGTGCAGGTACATGAGGGGTTTAAAGTGTGGCTGGATGAATGGCCTAAGGGTTCATAGGGATATTATCTTATCGGCATCATCACTGACTGCAGCTCTGATACAACTGGAGGATCTTTGGCAGGAAGTCTACTATACCACAATAAACTTATTAACAAACCACACCCAAGCTCCCTTAAAAAAGATCTCCTCATATGATTAGTGCTGATATATTGAGATGCATATCAGCCTTTACCTCCCTCAGCAGAACACAGGAACAACTCACACATACAAATCACTCCCCAATCTTTCCTACTAAAACCCCAAGAAGACATACATAAAAAAGAATGGCTTTTATGCTCCTTACTGTCCAGGGCTGATACTTACTCAGCATTAAGTAACTCATAACTGGAGGGGAAGTAAGCAGAGCAAGGCAAATGGCACAGTCAAGACCAAAGTACAACAAAGGCTAGGATCACGTAAGCTGCCTTTCCAGACCTTGCCAACTTGGTCAGACACCTGGCTAATAGCAGACATGTGCCAGGGCTGGGCCCAGACTGACTCTGGATGCCGGGAATGTTGCTCATACAATTATGGGTAGATGCGTCATACTAACATCCATGCTTCACCCTAAAGGCTGTAGACTGTACTTCATTAAAATGTCTCATTATGTATGCTAATTGTCCAATTACATTCATCTTATTAAAGGACAATTCTTTGATCATATTTCTAATTCCTAGCAAGACAACAAATTTAGAGAGGAAGATTTAATTACTTTGATGAATTTTTGTATCTAATTGTTTTAGACATAATTATGAAACTTGCCTAGAGTTGGTGATATATTAAAATACTGATTTTACATTATTTTTAAGTTTTTCTTACATAGATGAGGATACACAGATTCCTGAAATGGGAAGTTGCTTTCTTTGTTATAGTTTCCCAAGCACCTAAATCTGCTTTGAGGAAGCTCTGGTGGCACAGTTCCTGGGAGTTATGCTGGTAACCGAAAGATAGCACCTATCTGGTGGTTTGAATCCCCAGTGACTATTTGGGAGACGGATGGGAGAAAGGTCTCCTTCCTCACAGTGCACAGCCTGCAAACATCCACTGGCAGGTCAGCTATGAGTTGGTCCCAACTTGATGCCAGTGAGTTAAGTTAAATCTGCTTTGTTTGTTCCTTAAATAAGCAATGAATATGCTTTGAGCAAATCTAGAAAAGAAAATGTCACCTTCTTTCCTTTTTGTAAAGTCATCTTACTGATTTCCAAATATGTTTAAATAGCAGCTAACTCCACAGCTCTTATTCCAGCTCAGTTGCCAGTTCATAGGCAGTACCTGGTTTGGTAAGACCATCAATCCCAGTCTCAATTTCTATTCTGAAGGAAACATACCAATTTTTCCATTTTCATTAACTTGATGTCCTGCTGGTGCAGTTTCTCATTCTTGATCTCTAACACAGCTTTCAGGCTTTCTAATTCTTGCTCCAAATACATGATCTGAGGATTTTTCTGGAAGAAACAAGGTAAGACACCTCTGTCTCACATCATATATTCACATAGTTCAAATTTTTACAATAAAGCATCTTTGATTCTATTTAGAAGGACAAATAATCTTCTAAAGTAGCAAGTAACTTCCATCTCATATAGCAATGTAATGAAAAAAGAGGTTAAAATAATTTTATTCTCAAAGACTTTGATCATATGTAAATAAAACCATATTAATCAGTATTGGTAACTTAATATTGAAAAACATCTTGGCAGCACTAAGTGAAATTAGTTCAAATTAGTTATGAAAAAAACCCAAATTCTAGATAGAACTTTGGTAAATCAATACTGGTGTCTAGGAGGAAAAAGAGAACAATATTTTTTCTAATCAAATTCAGTCATTAAGCAAATCTAAAAGGTACATTTATAAAGCTATCTGGAAATGAGAATGATATGCAACTCTATTTCATGTTGCCTCTGGGGGGAAAACCCCCAAACCTGTCAGGGTATAGCTTTAGTCAACAATTAGCTAAGTATTGTGGTGTTTCTTTATGATGGCCAGCGCTGGCCTGAGGAGCTCTAGGGCAGCCATAGCACTCATAATTTTATTTGGTGACACCTAACTCTTACTAATATCTAATACCATATAGTTTGTGCTCTACTAAAACTCTATCCCAAATAAACACTGTATCAGGGAAATATATTCTGAGAGCACAAAAATTAGGGTGGAATTTCTTTTACTCGTTCTTATTAATGGAAATCTAATTGAACCAAAGTTCATGATATAAGTAAATGTCCTCTTGACTAATAAGAAAACTTCTTAAATATGATTCAGTGGTATAAATAATCTAACCTCATGGGGCTTGAGAACATTGTGCTAAGCGAACTAATGCAGTCTCATAAGGACTAATACTGCATAAGACCATTATTGTTAAAATAGAAGGATAACTAGTAAAGCATGTATGGGAACTCAAGTGGAGGAGAGCTGATGATGGGTAGGGGTGAAACCACAGGGTTACAAAGCTTGGTGGGTGGAGGGAGGGGGGAAGGAAATGGGAAGGATTGGGGCAAAAAGACAGGGTAACGGGCAAGGTCCAATGATGATTAATTTTATAAAACATAATGCATGAGAATGACTGTGTGAAACACAATTTGAATGAATAATAGCGTGAAATACAATGCATATAAACTGTGTAAGCAAACCAATAAAAAAAATGTCTTACTCTAAGTGTGAAAAAGGCAAATTAAGATGTTAAGATTTACTCTTTATAAAGCAAAGAAAATACAGATGTTCTATTTCATTGCATTGTCTAAATTAAGGAATAGTGATTGGGAGAGAGAGATGGTCTCTGGAGATTACTTAATCCAAATCGTTCATGTCATAAGAGAAAATGACTTCCATAATGACTAGCTCCATTCTAGAACTGAAAAATGTTAGAGCTGGGCCTTACATCCAACTCTTCAACCCTAGAGCTTTTGAAAATGTCATATAAATTTTCTTTTTATAGTATAATTTTTTTTCCAAACTGATGAAACAACAAATTCTACCACACGTTTATGATAGTATAATTTGCTTGACTAGGAGACAAGGCTACTCCTTGGCGGCAAAGATTCTGAAGCTTCGTTTGACATACTTTGTCGCAAGGAGAGACCAGTCCTTGGAGAGGGACATCATTCTTGGGAGAGTGCAGGGACAGTGCAAGAGAAGACGACCCTAGATCAGATGGATTGATTCTGTCACTGGGGTAACAGGGATAGGTGTGTCAGAGACAATAAGATTGGCACAGGATAGAGCAGGCTTGTATATTGGGTTGCTATGAGTTGCAGGTGACTCAAGAGTCCATAACAACAACAAAACCCTGTATTTTGCTAGTGCATCTTTTCTACCTCAATTCACTTAAATATGTGTTCTCTTTTTCAATCTCAGTATGATCAGACAGGGGCAAGGCATATCTTATATTCCTGCCTTCTTCCATCTCCATTCTGTACCAGGAAGCTCTTTAAAATTGGTTCTCTGAACCATCAAGAAGGTTTAAACACTACTACATGCAAGTCTAAATTCTTTTGAAATCACTAAAATTTTTCCAAGAAACTTCCATTGTATATAGCTTTAAGGATCTACTGAATATGACCCCAACTAATTGTTAAAATGTCACAAGCAATATGAAATGAAGGAAATGTAGCGGGGCGTGGGGGGTGCGAGATTACTCAAAAACATGAAGAGGATGGAAGACTGGGAAAATAAAGGTAAGCCCACAAGAGAAATCTGTACATTGTTAAAGTAAAATCTTTATCCATACAATGGAATATTATTATGTCATGAAAGGAATGAAATCCTGATCCATACTCTAACATGAATAAATGCTGAAAATATTATGCAAGTGAAAGAAGCAAGACACAGAGTGTTTGATTCTTTTGCAAGCATTTATATGTGACATTTTGCCACCACAGGCAAATTCACAGAGATATAAACCCCTACCCTATTCTTAGCTAAAAAATGACTCATGTTTTCCTTCCAAACCAAGCCTAAATCCACTGCGATTGAGTCGGTCCCAACTTACACGGAACTACAGATATTACCTTAGACCTCTCACATACATTACACAGTTAAAAAGTATATTGTAAGATATGAACAGGATTTTAAAAACATATTTTGCTAGCTGCTATTCTTTTGAATGATTGATTCAATTACTCAAAGGCAAATGAGCAGAAGGGAAATTTATGGTGCTAAAGGAACACACACAACTTACTAAATTGGCTTTCTCTCTTGATATTCTTTTTTCTTCTTCTGATTTCAGCTTTTCATTTAAAGTATCATTTTCACTCTTCAGATTGTTGATTTGTTTCTAAAACACAATGATGATATGTAAACTGTATGTTTACAGACATAACCAATGTATAAAGAATCATACAAAACCCACACAAATGTTAAGACTTTTGTTTTTAAAATTGAGTTTTGCCCACCTCTAATGATTCTTGTTTCTCATAATGCAAATCTTCAAGTGATTTCTTTTCCAATTCATGGCTCTGCTTGATTTCTGGGGGTGGGGGGGGTGTAAAAAAAGTGATTTTTTAAAAGGCAATACCATTCTATAAAATCACTTTATTCTGCAATTACTAAATGGAATTGATGTAGACGTTTATTATGACATAAGGTGAACGCTGCTATGTACTTGCATGACACTTTTACATAGATGTAGCCACTTGTCCCTTGAAATAGCCCTAGAAAGTGGGTTTACGCTCTCATTTCGTGGCTGAGAGCACCGAGGCCCACAAAAGTGTAGTAACCTCAAGGGACTCACAGCCACACACGAGTTCTTGGTCTGGAGCCCCTTTGCTCTCCTGAAACTTACTCTTCATGAAATAGAGGCTTAAAGCAATTTCTAGCAGGAAGAAAGGAAAATGCTATGTACTAAATGTCTACTCTAGACCAGCCAGCTTTGCATGTTATTGCCTCTAAGTTTGCATGTTAACTCTATTTCTCTGGCCAGACAGACTCTAGCCAAAGATCACTTGGCCACTTCACACCACACTTCCACATTTCTCTGCAGGATGTAGTGAGCTTAATGAGGACACGGCAGAGACAGTGGCAACTGGGTTCGGAAAGTAATGGCTGTTTATTTTTCCCCCCTTTTACTTCAACCCTCCCAATCATGACCAATGGAATAATAAAAAGGAAAGACTGAGTCTTTATTCAGCACCGACCACCTATACTTCACCATGTGTCCAACCAATGTGCAGAGTGCTAGGGCACATGCTTTACAGGGATCAAGGACAGTGGCCTGGACCTAGGTGGTGACTTCTGTCCTGCGTACATCTTTGTATTTAATTGACCTTAGGCACTTCCCTAGAACATAAGCTGCTAATATGCAGCCACCACCACCACCACCAGAAGGTGCCTTTAAAATCACTGAAAGTTCACTCCATTTCCTAAAAGGCTGACATTTACAACAAACTGATTAGCAACCCATTAGAAACCTCCATTAACAATGAACAATACAAAAAGAAACCAAGAACACTTCAAACACAGAGCAGTCTCTGTGGGGAAAGTTATGACTCATTTCCCCTTTATAACATATCTCACTGTTCCATTAGTTCTTATTCTCTTTAAATAGCAAAGGCATCCTTGCCTGAAAGGGAGGTTTCATAAGCCTTCTTTAGTAATTCTACTTTCTCCGAATGGCTAGCTTCAATCTCCAACTTGGAGGTTTCATGGGCAGCACTTAAGTTGTCAAACTG